TGTTCCCTGCCAGAAGATGTTTTGGGCAACTGTTTCTGCAGAACCCTTCTCCTGAGCTAGGAGCTGCGTAATCCTTTCAACCTCATCCATGTCCGCTTCTATGTCCGAGCTGTAGACATAGTACTTGTCATCAGGGTCCACATCACTCCGTAACGTCTCTTCGCTTCTACCCTCAACACGCTTGCAAGTTGGAGCTGACACCAGAAACCCATGGTTAAACCGTGATAGACTAGCTTCGTATCCCTCTTCATCCTCGGTTTGTCCGTGAAGCTTCCGCTTTATGGCCATTTCCAAGTTGCCGTTACGATCATCATCGTCATACTGGGGACCGTCGGTGCGTTCCTCAAAGGTCATCAGATCACCTGGCGCCGGCTCTGTCCAGCGCACCTCGCCCTTGTCTGATACCCAAACATCCAGTGCTTCATCAGGGCTGGTTCGTTTTGTCCAAGTGGGACGGTCCACATTGAGCAAAACTGGCAGCCTAGACTTTACCACCTTCAACCCCTTAGGAGTATCAATCAACACGTTTGCCCCGTCAATGTAGCTCTCATCTACTCCAAGATAGACTCCTTGATTCGTCTTTGCAACAAATGAGGGCAGCTTATCCACATTCGGTCGTTTGATCGCCACCAATGCCCCAAACACCGGCGCATCCTTAGGAGACTTTATGCTCAAGGCAGCAGCTCGCAAAAGATAGCAGGCGTGAACCACGGCATATGACCAGAATCTGGCAGGGAGACCTGCGTGAATCAGCAGCGCTGTAGCATGATGCTTCAGTGTTTGTACCATACGCTCCACCTTCCCAGATGATTGCTTGCAATAGGGTGCCGACTTCGTCTTCCAAAGCCCCATACGAGTGAAGTACGCGGTAATCTGATCGGATATGAACTCGCCTCCACCGTCACTGTGAACTCTAAGCAGGGGTACCTGGCCGTCGCTGCAGGAAACCACCTGTGCCATGATGTCCGTTAGGCTTTCTTGAGTCTCTTCAGAAGACTTGGTGTGCTGCACTCGTGCATAGGGCACTGCCGTCCCGTCAGGCATGATCAAGATCGCTACGACAAAATAACGAAATCCATCAACTGACGATCCGTGAGGTCCAGAAATGTCTACGTTCAACGTCCCGGAACTAACAGGTCCCTTCAATCTCCGATGTAAGCGTCTATGGCCACGAGCGGCAGTGCAGTCTGGGCATCCATGTTTGTAGAAACCGTCAATGCATTTGCGCTTCAGCTCTTGCGTTGACTGCTGCAAGGAATCAGTGGGCTCAGACGGCGATTCACCATTGGCACGGGCGATGGCTTCCCTAGACTCGTTATCTTCCAGACCTAACTTCCTAAGCATTTCCTCGAAAGTATCCCCCGGCTCAATGATAGGTCTCTCACCCCCGAGCTCCGTACCACTAGCAGGCTCGTTACCGCCTTCAACAGACACAACTGGGCCCTCAAACATGTCAAGTCCTTCAAGACCAACCCCCATCTCATCAAGCTCATCTTCAAGATCACTGGCAGCGCCCTTGGCACAGAACTCCCGAACCTCTGGCTCCTCCTGAAACCGAACCCGGGGCTTAGGGGTGTGTGTTGCCTTGATCTGCTGTGCTGTAGATGCTTTCGCTGGTGCTATCGGCGATGGCGAAGGGAGTTGAGGATGCACAAAACCCATGTCGGCCAGCTGCTGAAGCTCTTCCTCCGCGTCCTTCTGTATACCGCTTGGGGTGTAAGCCAGTAGCATAACCCTATGACCGGTGAAATGCTCAGTGCCATGAAGATCTCGGGGATTGAACTCGGCGATTGCACCTGCGGATGTAGGGAGGAGCCTTCCAGGGAAAGGCTGCTTGTTTTCTGATACAACACGCCACACACAATTCGGATCTGATCTCATCCCTTCATCGTGTAGCCACACTTGCCCTCCAACGAAATGCGACAGGCCGATTGCCACATTCCTGGAGCCATGCTGATTGAATTTGTCACGATGTGGCCGGAATGCCACATCCTCTGTCACTGTAACCGTGGTGAACTGATGAGCTGGGCATCTCTGACGGACATAACTTGTAAGCAATCGTGTCAGCTGAGGCCTAGCCTTCGCTAAAGAGCTGATTCCATGAACCCCTCCGTGCTGATACCTGCCGAAATTCCAGATGGAAACCAAGTCAGTTTGTGGTTCAGCCCGTCGTCGCCGCTTCCTAAGCTTCAGACCGGCGCCTGCAAGTACATCTAATAGCTCATGCGGTTTTATGTCGCCCCTTTGCAGCAACGATTGCGCCTTCTCCTCCGTCCTTGCAATTGCTTCATTGTGTTCACCAGTCTCGTCTGATTCGGCGGGGTTTTGCTCGAAAGTCATGTGCTCTCCGGGCTCCAGGATACTAGGCGTTGCTTCGTTCAGTGTAGCTCCCCAGGATCGATGTAGCTGCATGTTCGGCGCTCGCCGGTGAGCCTTGGCCAAATGCCTTCGTACCCGTTTGAAGCTACTCCAATCCAGATAAGGCAACCCATTCCTGATAACGACCGGGAGCTCGGCACCATCTTCCGAAGTCAATGTACACCCTTGCTTCGTCCAATGAAAGTCATACCCAGCCTGAACGACACGACCCAAACCAGCGATCCATTCATCGTTCTTCATCGGAATGGCCACCTCGCCATCTCTAATGCTCCTATAGCCCTGCTCACAAGCACCACTGGCCATAGACACATCAAGGGGTATGAACCGTGATGTGTCATGGATGCTAAGCTCCTCGCATAAAGGTCTCACGACTTCATTTGCACCCGAGTCCAGCAGTACCATCTTCTGATTACCGTTTGAATCGACAGAATGTTCCAACCGGGCAACTCTGGCATCTGGAACGCTCCGCAACAAAGAAACCTTGCTATGATTGGCTTCGTCTACTCCCAGAAGCTTCTGAGCGCGCGAGTCGGCCTTGGGTTTGGGAGTCGGCTTGGGCTTCGGCCTCGGGTTCGGGGCATTGGCCTCAGCGGCAGAAACGTTTGACTTGTCGCCCTTGCTCTTGCCTTTACCCCCTTTTGAGCCCTCATCCTTTCCCTTTCCCTTTGCCTTGCCCTCTTCGCTATGTAGAAATGGGCAATCTTTGCGAAGGCATCCACCAGGCTTCTTGTAGTAATAGCATATACCTTTCTTCGGTGGTTGCTGCGATGATGTGCTTGCTGTGTTGATTGCTGTGTTCCCTGCATCCGATGCTGCACCCATGCGTCTGTCCGCCCTACTTGCCTCATCAGCTGTGAGCTCCAAGACTTGTTGTTCTGCCGTTGTAAAGTATCGTTCCACACCTTCCTTGGTAGGCCGCGTAGAGGATTCAGGGAACAGTCTCAACAAGTTCATGCGCATGTGGAATGCAGGATACTTCCTTTCAAGCGTTCGGGTCATCAACTGCAATGCCTTCAGCTGCTCACTTGGGGCAACTTCTGGCATGCTCAACTGCACCAGCCTCCTCAAAGCCAGCCTGTACCGTCTAAATAGACCCTCCAGCTCGCGAGCACTAGATGCAATCGGCGGTGACCTTACGAAACTCAACAATGAAGATGCCTCTTCTGGACCTGCTGGTTGAAGCCTCGCCAGCACACCCATGTAAAGCATAGCCGATGAAACTAGCTGCCCCATCGCCCCTTCAATTGCTGATACTTTGATTTCCTCCGGCACTACTCGCATGAGAGCGCCACTCAACCTTGCTTCAAAGTCCTTGTCCTCAGCACTGATCATAGGCGGAACTGGCATAATCAAGCTTTCGGACTTCTGTTTGTACATGGCCATAGCAGCCTTCCACATCCTATCCGCAAACTCTGCAAAAGGCTCCGCGATGCTGTGAAAGATTGTTGAACACTGCGTGTGCCATGACTGTACGTAGATCCCAGCCTCCCAAGCTTGGCCAACTGCCAAGTTCAGCTGTGGAATGTCTCGTAGCATCTTCCACCGCCCTTCGGGGATGATTCTACCTTCATCTTTGTTTGCATCTGGAGCTCCAGTGTTGCCGGCTACCGGAAGCTCACAACCCTTCTCAGCAACAAAGCCTCCTGTCTGGGTGCCCTGAGCTGCTGATTGAGATGACCCTGCATTGCAGTGCTGACTCAGATCCACTCCGAGAGCTGCGCCAAATACATGCCGCATCTGATTAGCAGGATTCTCTACTGTCTGCTTTCGCATTTCTTCTGGCAACGGAGGTGGAGGGACTCTCAAACCGGGAGGTCCGCCGGATTGAAACCACCACTGTTGCTCTGGATCGCTTTCGTCTAACTGATCTGACTCTCTGGTAACCGTAGGCGACAACGAAAACCTCATCGGGACGAACTCGGTTGGGGTTCCACGTGTTGGTGCGCTCATGTGAAAACGACTGCTTTCCAAGAGTGAAATCCGCGATTCAAGAAGTTTACGTTGCTCAGCTTCCTGGCCTAGCCTCAGCTCCAAAGCTTCGCGTGCTCTACGTTCCTCAAGTAGTTGCTTCATAAAGAACTCGGCCTGTCTGGCATGTCCCTGAAGCTCATCTCTGATGCGCTCGGTCACTTGAGGATGACTCGGGGCCCCAGCTGAAGAAGAGCCTTCACCCGATCCAGGGATGGCACTTATCGCTGAAAGCCGAACCAAACACTCATGTAGCTTTGCATCCGTGGCAGCATGATCAGATTGAAGAGATCCCACTGCCTCATGAAGTAAATCTAGCTCACGCCTAAGCGATGTAAGACCAGACTCATCCATGCCCACAGTTGTCTGAGATAACTTGTCCATGACTGCACGCAACGATGCTTGCTGACTTTCGTACTGCGTCACATGGTCCTGCCAACGTTGACTCTGCTGCCGCTCGAACTTTTGCAACATATCCATGAGAGCAACATGCTTACCATACAGCTGTCGTATGTGATCATCGGTTGCATAGAAGAGCTGCTCATGCACTGCATGTCTTTGCATCATTGAACCCATCGCATTCTGTAGCTCTTGCATGTCATCGGCTGCACTGGTGATTCGTTGCAATGTGTCATGCGACAGCTGAATCTCTGTCAGCTGTCGAAGCAGCAAGCCATAGTTGTCTTGCTGTGCTGCCGCAGTACTGTGTAAAGCGTCTTGTTGGGCTCATAACCTGTGATTGTGGGGTCAACACATGCGGGGATGCTTCAGAGCCACTAACCCTACTATAGTGGGTGGGTACAGGAGAAGCCATCAAGCCTGCCTGGGACTGACCTTGCCCCCAGACCTGAACCTCGCCTTCACGCCTGAACCCACACCCGCACGCATGCTCTTACTCAAACTTCTCTTTCACTCGTGACTTGAGCCACCATCCGCAGTGGCATAACCTTGGTACACTTCTCGATTTGTGCGCCATCTTGGTACACTTCTCGGTTTGTGCACCTCGGACAGGGGCCATGCAGCTTGGTACACTTCTCGGTTTGTTGATGCACTCACATAGGGTTCCTCATTATGATTTCCTTATACAAGTCCTCAAAAAGAAAGGTTCCACAGGGTGGGTTACTTGGAGCATCATTGGACGTAGTATATATGGGTGTAAGTGCATTGTATGGAGGTGAAGGTAATACTAACCATAGTAACTACTAACTACTCATCAGTATATACTATACTTTAACTTTGAAATAGTCCTTTTATCGGCTCATTGCCGTCAAGGTGTGTACTATTTGGGTACATGGACCTAAACCCTACACCCTAATTAAACCCCTAAACCCCGGCTTCGACAGCATTTACACATGCTAGCTGCTAGATGGCTAATATAGGGGCCTTCATAATTCGAATAGGGCTTTGGTGTGTATTGATTTTGTTAGCAAGGACCGCGCCCCAACCCCTATTGCACATGAACCGTTTTGAGTGCGTTCAATGAGTTGTATGCGGTTTCTGCTAAACCCCTAAAGCACTAAACCCTCAAAGCACACTAAACCCTAAACCCGGTTGGCTCCTCCAGGAGCCGTAGCTTGTGATGTCGGCGGGTGGCTCACCGCCCTAAGGTCACTTACGGGCTTGGGTTCGGGGACGGGGTTGAGGGATGCTTAGGGTCCTTAAAGGGATCTATGGGGGTTCCTCTAAGAGGATCCACAGGAAATCTATAGGGTTGGGAGGTTTAGGAGCTTGTTAGGAGTTTAGAGTTCAAGATTTTAGGGTGCAGGGGTTTTAAGGGTTCCCGGTCCAGGGGTTTCGGGCCACGGGAAGGTGTGTAGCGTGGAGGCTTCAGTCAGGGTGTAGGGGTTTTCGTCTGTGGGCCTTAAGTTTAGCTGTGTGTTGCTTCAGTTGTACCATTTTAGGGAATCATGAATGAAAATCATAAACCCTAAACCCTAAACAATAAACCGTTAAATCAGGCTCGTACTCTGCATAGGGTGTGTGTGTGTGTGTGTGTGCGTGAGTCCCCTAATTAAGCCGTGATCTCCGAAGCACCACTACGAGACCAACTCGGGCATACCTGAACACTTGAATGCCTCACTGTTTGGAGCTCCTTGCTCTGATTTTCTAAGGGGATATGCCCTATAGGCTATTATACGGGGCTGTTCAGTAATCCACTGGGAAAAAAGTATATGCTTTTCATTTTTGGGCTTCTTATTTTATAATAGGAACCCAGAAACCGGAAAGTAAAAAAGTGTACCACTGAACAGCCTACTATACAAGGATTAAGCCAGCGACGCGCGTCGTGTTTATGAGCAAGGGCTGAGGCATTATGGGCCTGGCGTTCCCAGGATCCAGGGATTGCAAAACCACAACCCCGAAACCCCACACCCTCAACCAAAATCCCCACACTGAATCCGTAAAGCCTAACTAGGATACCCAGTAACCTAAGAATAAAAGGCCTCTCTTTTTGGTATTGGGTAACTTTATAAGGAACCTAGGACTACAAAAAGGGAATAAGGGTACTACTGGGCATCCTAGCTAAACTAAACTCAACCCTGAACCCTAAGCCTGGACGGCAAACTTGAACGATGGAGACCACTTAGCAAGACTCCTGCATCTATATAAACTGTTTCACTTTCAAGAACCCAAATCCCTCACCCCAACTCCCTAGACCCAAAACCAGGAAAACCACCAGCGTACATGTCAAATGCATGCCGCAAAGCTGCAAAGAAGGAGCACTGAACAACAAATACCCTTATATACCCTGGTGCTGGGGCCACTTGCCACGCCCACCTGCCCTCCGCGGTTGACGCTCGCATCCACCTGCAATGCAGGTTTCTGACGATCCAGAATCTAGGTCTAGGATTAGGGAGAGCTTTAGGCTGGTTGAATCACCGAAAAGGTTGATATATATATATATATATATATATGCTACCCCCCCCCCTCAGGTACCCAGGTTTTCGTCTTTGTGCTGATAGCACGAAGGACGTCGGACAGAAAAGGCTGCAAGTGCACGCGCATGCTCTCGATAAGCCGACATATAGTACTGGTAGTGAGCGAGTGTGACAAACTTCAGGGTATGGCGAAGCAGGCCTACTGAAACCCAGTAAGAGAAAGAGCTTTGCACGGCATAGAAGTGATACTGTAGCATCCCCAAGGCCATGCACGCAGATTTCGGATCAAGGTGGATAGTGGCTATGTTTAATTGGCTGTCGTTATGGTTTTTTACACACGCAGCAATGTCATTGCTGTGGTGGGTGTTGCAGTCTCTCACATGAATTGCTGTGTTCATTGGTTCATACAGCCATATATGGAATAAGCCTAAAGCAGTGTCATATAGTGTCAGTATACTTGTCAAAGCCTTTAGTCTCCGCAGCATTGTACAATGATTCATGCGTGTCTGTCAAATTAGCAGCCAATAGCGACAAAAGTATGAAATCGTGTTTCACGACGGTGTGTGTAGGCTTCGCAATTGTTACTGCAAGTATAGTCTGACTCCATTGCCTTAGGAATCCGCTCTCCGTTTCTTTTCCCAATCATGAACTGCTACATGTTCTGTTCTTCTATATCGAGCTCAAAATGTCAAGTGTGGTTTTAATATTACCTCTCACAGTGTTGCTATCACATCTTGTGAATTGCCATTATTCCTGTTACAGTGGTTATCATACTTCACCAATACCAGGCCATTTAGGACCATGTGCCACCCGGCTTGTTGAATTTCTGCATCAAGTGTTACTGTGTCAATTACTGTTCTGATTGTTCGTTCAGACTGCTTCGTATATTGTTCGGGAACCTGGCTTAATAGTAGCCAAGCATTATAAAGTCAATGAAGTACCTGCTGAGTCCTGTGTTTTATACATTCTGCGGAGTTGAGTATAAACCTACCAGAGAGCACCACGTGAATACGCACACTTGTGCTTCAAAACACTGCTTGGTAGGATGATGGTTAACCAAGTCACACACTTGCTTGCTTTTTACCTGCTAAGATTGGGTTGTTAGTCTTCCAAATCAAACATGATCCAACACGCCGGGGCTGCGTGTTACACGCTAGGTTGTATGTTGTAGTTAATTAGTTCGACTATATTTTTTTCACGTCAGGTGACTTCGACATGTTTAATCCGAGTGCAGTTCATCAAAAGTGCGTGCATCATACAGGTGATATCCATTTTATTGGTCGCACAATCGTTTTCGAAAGTCTGCACCTACCAAATGATGACAAGTTGACAACGATGTATGTCAGAATTCTGGTGCACATGGTAGTCTTTTGACTACGGGCTCTTTGTTTTTTGTAAGCACCAGTGCCACACCAAAAAAGAATACACAACCACAACGACCCAAGACCCCCATACAAACACCAAGCAACATAAGTAGATCCTTCTACATTTATCTTAAGAAGTGGGTGATTAATTAAGCCAGCTAAGCTTGGTCGTGCAGCAATAGTTTTCTCATAATAAATTTTTGAATCTTAGACATGGAGTACAGCCTTGTATGTGATAAACAGAAAACCCATGAACTGGTGTTCCCACATTAGTGTCTTCAAGCGGAGACTATGAATTACCTAGTTTCGTGTTGGACCAACTAGTGAGCTTAATCAAGGATGCAAATACCTTACCGGCTTGTCTGCAAAACGCCTCGCACGAGTACGTAAGATCTGCTCAATCGCAACTTTCGGTAACAACGTATTGAAATATGTACTATGGACAATGTTGGCGAAACCAGCATGTTCAACCATTCCCATGGATCTGGAGAAACTTCGGGAGCCGGAGCGGCAGCTTCGGGAATAATGGAAGGTTGGTAAAACCAAAACTTTCCATGATCCCCCTTCAGGCAAATCATGGAAATTGTTGGTCGTGCCAACGTTTCCAACCATTTCCATGAATGTGGAAAAACCTCGGGAGCCCGCGCCATAGTTTCGGGAATCATGGAAACTGTTGGAAATGTTGGTAAAACCAACAATTTCCATGATTCCCCTGAGAGAAATCATGGAAATTGTTGGTTTTACCAACATTTCCAACAATTTTCATGAATTTGGAAAAACCTCGGGAGCCTGCGCCATAGTTTCGGGAATCATGGAAATTGTTGGAAATGTTGGTAAAACCAACAATTTCCTTGATTCTCCTTAGACAGATCATGGAAATTGTTGGTTTTACCAACATTTCCAACAATTTCCATGAATTTGGAAAAACCTCGGGAGCCCGAGCCATAGTTTCGGGAATCATGGAAATTGTTGGAAATGTTGGTAAAACCAACAATTTCCATGATTCCCCTCAGAGAGATCATGGAAATTGTTGGTTTTACCAACATTTCCAACAATTTTCATGAATTTGGAAAAACCTCGGGAGCCCACGCCATAGTTTCGGGAATCATGGAAATTGTTGGAAATGTTGGCAAAACCAACAATTCCCATGATTCCCCACAGACAGATCATGGAAATTGTTGTTTTTCCAACATTTCCAGCACGTTCCATCGATTTGGAGAAAGCTCGGGAGCAACAATACAGTAGACGCTACACTTAGAAGCCCAGGGAGTCACAGTAAACGAAAACGTGCTTTCCCAGAGACGCAATGACCAAGGAACACAAACAAATATTGGGGACAAGGTGTCTGGCTTGAACAGGACACAACCTGGGTACCGGGGGGGGGGGGGGGGGGTACCATATATATATATATATATATATATACATACATACATATATATATATACATACATACATACACAGCACATACATACATAAATACATGCATAGATGCATACATACTATACTTACATACATACGTCCATGTTTACATTTATTTTTTATCTATTTAGTCATTCATTTAAACGTATATTTGCACCCATATATTCGGGGCGCTTGACGTCTGTTTTTTGAGGTCCTCTTGCCTCTCGCTTTTTTTGCCACAGGAAATGCTGCAAGATTGAATCCGCAGGAAGCTTGGTTCGGGGACTCGTCTACGAGATATTATCACGCAAATAGGCACCTCGATAGTCAGAAAAGGGTTTTGTGTGTTATAACCCTGAGAATCCATGTACCCAAATAGTATATACTCTGGCCCCAAAATACCTATATAGGGACTACTTTAAGGCCAAAGTATATACTATTTGGGTACATGGACCCTCAGGGAAATGGATCTGGTCATTCACCCCCAGACAGACGCCCTGCAGCGAAAACCGCGATACAACTGAAAGTAGGCAAAGGGTGCGTCGAGCGCATGCTTGACGAGTTTGGAACCAGGGGTCCGGTTAGACAACTCAATCGGGATAAGAATAAGACTAATAGCAACACTAGTAGCGACAATCAACAATAAGACAGCTAGCAATCAGAAGAAACGTAGTTATAACTCATATTCCACATGCGGACAAAGCACCTAAGAAAACACTTCCACGCCCAAACACAACACCTACACTTAGAGCCTGTTCCGTCGTGAGTTTGGGCGACGCACGCGGTCGTCAATCGGTTCTTATTCGCGAGCCGAACTGAAGCCAGCAGACTACCCAGACCAATGTGATTTCCAAAGCACGGGAAAGCTGTGCTACCCTTCCTGCCCTATACCCAAACTCTGAGGTTCTTCAGCATGAGCCCGAGCGAGGACGCCTGCACTTTGGCATTTCCCCCCCCCCACCGCAAGAAATGAGTGAAATCCCAGCGTTTTGACATCGCGTTTTGACAGGATTTCAAGATGTATGTATGTGTGTATATATATATATATATATATATGTTTCAGGGTCTTGGGGTGAGGGTTAGACCCTAAACCCAGCCCCAACGACAACTCGGATATTCCACCTAAACCCCCCATGGCCAACACCCGGAAGGCCCACCAAAACCTAACTCCAAAAGCCCCGATATCCAGGATTCTCATGTCGAAATGGATTAAGGTCTGAACAATGAATAACCAGAAGTCATCAATCATCGCAATAATAGCGAAAATGACCAACGTCCCTTCATAACCCCTTTCAACTACTGTACCTGCAATATTTTGTAAGGTACACTCAGAGCCCTTTTCAAATTAACACAGCTCCTAATGAACCTGATAAAACCCTTACACAGACCTTCTGTAGAACCCTGGAACAGCGCCTCACTTCCTGAACGCTATTCTGAGTAAACAGGTCCCCACCCTAAGGGTCCATGTACTCATACAGTATATACATTGGCAAAAGTATATACTATTTGGGCACGGACCCTTAGGGGCATACTTCGGGCATGCCGAGATGGCCTGACGGAAACCTTGTACTCGGCTACCATCCTGCGTTTAGGGCTTAAGCTTAGCCACTACGGGTCCTTGTCTACAGGACCCAAACCCCGCTTTTTGAGGGACTCTACAATGTTTTTTCTTGAGGGTTCTATAACTTGTCGGCTTAGGGACGAAGCGCCCCCAGTTCAGGTTCAGACAAATTCGCAGATCGGGGTCACGTACGGTTTAGTTTGGCATAGGTTTCAGCCAAATTATGTTTTCGCAGCAAAGGTAATGATGTTTTGGGCATGACATCTCCTTGGGTCCCCGGTAATTGCATAGGATCCCTTTCTAATGTAGTATCTCCTGCCCACTGAATCAAAGAAACAAGCCCCACGAAGTGAACTTTCCCAAAGAAATCTGCCAAGTCGAGCTTGCTTCAGGGCCGATACCAAGCCCTCCGCACTCAAAAGCAAGAAAAGCGAAGACCGAACCCTGAATCCGGGACCCTGAACCCTAACCCTAACCCTAAAACCTAAACGTTAAACCCGAACCCGGGACCCTGAACCCAACCCTAAACCCCTAAACCAAACCGCAAAAGGAGGCTTGAAAGAGGCCCGAATCATAAACCCTAAACCCGAAGCCCTAACACCCTCACCTCGTAAAAGCAAAACATCAACAAACCCTACTTGGAGGATCGTGGGGCTTGGTAAGTAAGTAAGGTTATAAGTACCTTAATTGGAGGTATGATTAAGTATAACTATGCTTACCTTATTTATAACCCTACTTGGGGGGTCGGGGACATAGTAAGTAGGTAGTACGTAGACTGAGAAGTACTCTAGAAGGATCCTGATTGGGGTAATGATACTTATAAGTCTCGAAAAAAGCTACTTGGTAAGTCCCCCGACCCTCCAAGTAGTTACTACGTCCCATGATCCTCCAAGTAGATGAGTGATGCAGTGATTCTCTCACTGGCCCGAAACCCAAGGAAATGAAAGTTGAAACTTTCAACATCGACTACCTTATTAGAACCCCAATAGTTGAAAAGTTGAGTTTACAGCCAATAAGAAACCCAGCTTCTCGCTATGACCCGGACCCCTCCCTAGAAACATATCCTGCCAGGGCTTGGGGTTTCATTTAGGCTTTAGGATTTTTAGGGTTTAGGGTTTAGGGGTTAGGCTTTAGGGATTCTTTAGGGTTTAGAATTTTGTCGGCTAGTGAGTGCTTTGGGTTTAGGGTTTGGGGTCCCCCAAAGTAAAGTACCCCTAACTATCGGAAACTCTGTACGGAACCCTTTAAGGAACCCTTTAAGGATCCCTTTCAGGAACCCTTACCGACCCCTTTAAGGATCCCTTTCTAGAACCCTTATAGATCCCTTAAAGGAACCCTTTAAGGATCCCTTACCTTATAGATCCCTCTAAGGAACCCTTATAGATCCCTTTAAGGACCCTTTAAGGAACCTTTAAGGAACCCTTTAAGTTATCGATCCCGTTAAGGAGCCCTTTAAGGATCCCAAAAATCCTCGAGCTCAATCCAGCCGATGCCCAGAGGAGAGGCGACTAACCTCGGCACCCGAGGTTGAAAGGGGAAAAGGAGGGAGGACCCCTACTCTATAATGGGGAAAGGAGGGACCCTTTAAAGGGATCTATAGGGATTCTATAAGGGTACAGGGTTTAGGGCTTAGGGGTTTTGGGGTTTAGGGGGTAGGAGGGACCCTTAATGGGGACCCCTACTCTATACAGTAGAAGCCGAAAAGTTGGAAACCCGATAGCCTCCATCCTCAAGAGTGATATATAGGGAATCCCAGCACTATTTGGCCTTTATCCGGTTTCCAACTTTAAGGGGGTTACTATAATGGGGCTATATAATTGGTATATGGCTGAAAAAGAGTATATTACCTAGGGGTCCTTATCAAGGGTCCCTCCTGTTCCCCTTGGAGAGGTCCCTTCCGTAAATCGTTCCTCTAGGGACTCCCTTGTATGAACACCCTCCCCAAACCATTTGATTAAGGTCTGTTGCGATTCGGCTGTCTGCAAGGGTTGCCATGACTTTTCACTGAACGCTGTTATTTGGGGCCCTCAAGAATTCGAAGAGAGTTGCAGGGTATATCATCCTAACATGATCTCCAATTGGAACTATGACGAACCCTGAAAAACGAGATCCATACCATGAAGAGCGCTAGACAACGAGAAACTCCAAAGTTTGAGAAACTCCCACGAGGCCGGGTTTTAGCTCTGAGGGTTTGGGGTTTAGGGGCTTAGGGTTCAGGGCTTAGAGCGTAGGGCTACTTAAAAAGATCCTTAAAGGGATCCTTGGTTCCTTAAAGGGATCCATAAGGGGTTTAGGGGCTTAGAGTTCATGGCTTAGAGTTTAAGTTTACGGTTTAGGGCTTGGGGTTTCGGGTTCAAGGTCCATGTGCCTGACACCCCCGTTTCAGGAAGCCCCAACAGATCCCAAAAGGGAACCCCCTCCTGAATGGCAACCCAACACCTGACACCCAAGGTTTGGAGTGGCTAGGGGGCGCCCTAACACCCAAAACTAACACTAAAGCCCTAATAACTCAAGCTCAGGAACCTAATCCTAAACCCTGAAAGCCCCAAACCCTAGCAGAAACCTGAGCACCTCACTTCATAAAGCTGCCAAAAGATGATGCCGGCAGCTCCTTTGGCAAAGGCGTGTCGAGAGTTCCCAGGGTTCCACAAAGGGAGGATCCGGAATGTCGATCCCCTAATTGGGGACCCTATACCGGTTCAGGGTTTAGGGTTTAGGGTTCCGGGGTTTAGGGTTTAGGGTTTAGGGTTTAGGGGTTTAGGGTTCCGGGGTTTAGGGCTCAGGGTATACGACTACAGGGTGCTTTATCGGAACACCTTAAGGGATTTACTTTCTGGATGGGTGCCCACCTTAGACTACTAGAACGTGCTTCTGTAGAGTGTGCACTCGGGTATCTGGGACAAGCTCATACTAGCTCATGATACATCCTTCAAGCACCTAGGGCCTTATGTCCTGCAAACCCTACTCAAAACAATCCAGACCTTGCGAAATCATTTAATTAAGGAATATACCTTGAATCGTATTAGGGATCCTACTATAATTCAATTTATGTTCCTTAATTAAGGTTTTTTGGAAGGTCTGGGAGCCAGGGGCCTCGAGAGCCGAAGGCAAACAAACATACGCGCAAAAGGCCCGTAAGGTATCCAGACCCATAATATAAGGGGCCTTAGTAAGTAGAATTGGGTTTTGAGGGTCCTTCAAAGGGGTTACTATAAGGGATACTATAAGGGTTCTATAATTTTGGGCCTTGATATTTAGACTTGGGTTTTGGGGCCCATTATACTATAATTGTAATAAGGAACACCAAAACAACATAGGCAATTATGTAGGGCCCTATTACACTCGGATCTAAGAACCCAAACCCTAAACGATAAAACCATAAACAACATCCCTAACCCTGAACCTCTAAACCCATAACCCTAAACCCCAAACCCTAAGCTCTAAACCACTATTTATACCTAAAGCCTAAACCCTAAACAAGGCCGCCCCCAAGGCAGTGCGGCAGTCCCAAATCTCCAGGTCAATGCTGGCCTGGCAGCGAAAACGAACAAAGCAGAGGCCAGAAAGTTGGAACATCATAATGCTCATGCCCTTAATGCAAGGCTGAGGGAATCCCGGAACTTATTATCCTGTCTAATCCATGCTCCAACTTTCTAGGATTCACTCCAGGGGTTGGGTCCGAGATGGGTGCCTTTCTCAATCATACTACGAAGACTACGAATAGGGTTTAAGTAGATGGCACACAGAACCCTGAAAGAATAAGTAGCTGGATAAGAATTCACGCCCCCGTTTTCGGGGTTGCGTGAGTGCTTCGTGTAAGGGTCCTGACAGTGTACCCTGTGTCACTCCAACCTCAAGCGCATGCCCTCAGCCGTAAAGCCGTAAGGGTCCATGTACTTACAACTGTACACTTTGGCCTCGAAGTCGTCACCATATAAAGGTACTTTGCGGTACAAGTATGTCCTATTAGGGTACATGGACCCTAGGAAAGACCTATGACCTAGACACTGAAAGCTGTTCGGTGCCAGCTTTGGGTTCCCATATACGGAAAATCATCATGTAGAGATAACCGAACAAACAAGTAAGAATGTATGTGCGTATGCTATATATATATATATATTCATATGTGTATACATATATATATATATATGGCGTACATGTATATATGAAGATGATGAAGATGATGATGATGATGATGATGACGAACTGTACATGTTATATCATCACTATTCCTAAGGGGACTATAGAGTAACGCCAGGAAGCTGAAGCAGAAACCGAGCTTCGCACCCCGTCCGCAGCATCCACGAGACCAGGCCGGGGTGGTTTCATCTCCTGGGTAGTAGTTTTTTGGCCCTTGAAAGGTTTTTTATAGAGGTGGCTATTCATAAATACTTCTGAAAAGCCCTCTAAAAGGACTTATGACTAGGTGCCTCTCTATAGAAACCATGAAGGGCACTTTAAAATCTTCCCAAACTGCCAGCTAGTCTCGTCGAAGGCCACAAGGCGGTACCTGGCAGATCGGTGTCTTTGGGAGACTCATTAGGTCTGCGTGTTAATCATACTTATATATTTATACACACATTTACACATGTGTGTATGTGTATATATATATATATCTATCCTTTCATAAAAACATGTGTGCATCAAAGACATCCATCCATTTATCCATCCATCAATCCTTCCTGCAATTTCATCCATTCCCTCCATTCCATCCATCCCATCCCATCCCATCCCATCCCATCCCATCCCATCCATACTTCCATCCATCCAGCCATCCAACCATCCAGCAATCCATCCATCCTCCCTTTCTTCCTAAGACGTCTACAAAAGCGTTCATCTTGTGGAAGCGGCCTTGGTGACGTCCGTGCTTCCCGCATGAAGCGGCCGCCGCGCTCAGTCAACTGAGGGCTCAAAGGCAGTCCTGCTGCTGCTGGTGCTGCTGCTGGCTCATGGTGTAGCGTTTTAGGGTTCAGCGTTTATGGTAGGATGTATCTGGTTCTCAAAAATTAATGTCGCTCTTGCGGCGACCCAAGCTATTCTATCGTGCACCAGGGTCTCGGATCTAGGAGGCTTGATGAAAGGCCCAGTGTAATCGGGTAGTTGTCAAAAGTGTGGTACCCGAAAAAATCGGTATATTATAATAGGGACCCAAAAAGGAACCACAATTTTGACAACCTCCCAATTTCAGTTCGGGACTTTCGGCTTTGAGTTACGAGCATTAGGGTTTTAGATTTGGGATTTAGGGTTTGGCTGGAGCAGCTCCAGCTGCATCACTCAACAGATCGGGAAAGTAAGATCGACAGATGACAATATATCAGAGCGACGTGGGGTTGACTAAAAGTTTGCAGAACTATAGAGAGACGTTAAGTGGGGATATCTTGCGCAACCCTCAAGCCTAAACCCCACCTGTGACCCCAAACCCTACAAAATAGTAGGTTATGACTAAGTTAAGACCCCTTAATTAGGAGGTAGAACCCTTAAAACAGTAGGATTTGGGATCCCCAGGTGAAACCCATGACCCCTGAACCCTAAACCTTACAGACCCTGAGCCCTTATAAGCCCTAAAACCTTAGACCCCAAAAAGAACCGAACCTCCGAATCCCAAAATACCCTCCTGCCATGTGAGCTCCGCAGACGGCCACCTCGAACCTCGAAGGAAGGGTGGGCGCTTTGAGTTTAGGGTTTCGGGTTTGGGTTTCGGTTTAGGGCAGTTTAGGGTTTAGGGTTTGGTGTTTAGGGTTTGGGCTTAGGGTTTAGAGTTTCGGCCGAGTTTCGGCTGGCTTATGAGGAGGGCGCAGGCTTTAGCCTACTGTCGCGTGGATTTGTTTTGCTCATATCAGGTTTCAATGCTGTGTGAAAACCTGCAAGGACCCTAAGCATGGGGGTTTTCCCAAATCAAAAGCGTGATTCCTGATATAGACCCTCCCCTACATTCATCTACATTCTAGCTATTTAGGTACGAGAACCCTTTGGGAATGTGTTCTTGCTACAATTTCTTGAGTTTGTGCTGTGTGGGTGGGTCACATCGTCCGTCCTCATCTCTTCATCCCGGGGTCGTCAAGTGCGATACTCTGATTCTTGGAGGATCATGGGACTTTAGCAAGTAAGAATATAAGTACTTTTATGGCAGTGATGAGCGAGTAGAACTAAACTAACCTCATTTATAAGCCTCGTTACCCTACTGCTTAGCCTCATTGGCTTGCCGAGGGGGCCTGAAGTTGGCGCTTTAGCTGGGCTTCAAGGTTTAGGGTTCAGATTGTCAGAGCTGTTTAGGGTAGTTCAAGGTTTTCTCCACTCCAAACCCCAAATCCTGACATCGATCAACCCAAAGGCTCCATGTACCACTATAGTAGTTACTTAAGCCGTAAAGGGGTCCCGTTTTAGGTACTTTAAGGCCTAAGTATATACTTTATGGGTACATGGAGCTTTAGGGCAACTTGTCTTGGAGAGAGAGTGCGACTCTCGGCCAAAAGGTTGAACTCTAGTCGACCTCCATGATAGCTCAGATCCCGCTTCCTTCGAAAACTTCAGAAGCAAACCCAAAGAGCTTAATACCGCTTAATTTCGGAATGTAGCTTAATATGAAGCCCCGTATAATTTAAAGTATATTGCCTTACTAAGGGGGTATCGGGCTCTCTGGCAAGGTATGTGTGCGCGTGAACGCAACATTCTGTATGCGCTTTATGAAGCCCGTAGGATGTCGAATGTTTGGCAACAGCTGGGACCTACTTGTCGGGTATCATGGGGCTAAAGGTTAACCTTTCTGATTATATAAGGGTTATATAGGGGTTATACTACCCCCAAAAAGGTTAAAAGTTACCTACTCTACTACTAGGGGGAACAACTAAAACCTACACCCTAGTCCCACCTAAAACGGCGCTGCGACGCGCCGACACTCAAAGGCCCTCCGACCCGACATGTGGGGGTCTGAATCATTACCCTAAGGGTCCATGTACTCATATAGGGGTTCCTTTAAGGGTGCCATAAAGGATCCTTTAAGGGATCTATAAGGGTTCTATAACGGCTTAGGGTATAAGGGACCATGTACGCATGTAGTATATACACTGGCCTTAAAGCAGTCCCTATATAGGTACTTTGGGGCCAGAGTATATGCTATTTGGGAACATGGACCCTTAGGGTTAGACTATAAGACATAGCACATAACATTACTACCAGTCCGAATCCGAGACTGCAGACCCTGTTCTTTGATAACATCCTTATAATCAGAGGAACATCACAATCCAGGACACACACGCAAACATATATATATATATATATATATATATATATATATGGTCACCCCCCCCCGTTGACAGACCATCCCCTTCAAAACATCGCTCCCACCGGTGTGTTCGTGCTTTTTCCTGGGTATCGAGTTTGAGCCCTCCGAACGTATCTGTGGAACCACCAAAAGACTCGTTGACAGACCATGCCCTTTCAACTCAGTCGTAGTGCATGGTCTGTGATCGGGGGAGGGGGTACTCAGCTTTCAAAAACTCAATTCCAAAATTTCCAAAATTTCCAAAATTCTCTCCCTTAACTTTCCGGATTTCCAAAATTTCCAAAATTTCCAAAATTTCCAAAATTTCCAAAATTTCCGAAATTTCCAAAATTTCCAAAAATTTCCAAAATTTCCAAAACGGCCCGACCTAGTGGACAGGATTTTTCCAAAACATAAGGGCGGACTTTTTGGAAATTTTGGAAATTTTGGAAATTTCGGAAATTTTGGAAATTTTGGAAATTTTCGGAAATTTTGGAAATTTTGGAAATTTTGGAAATTTTGGAAATTTTGGAAATTTTGGAAATTTTGGAAATTTCGGAAATTTTGGAAGTTTTGGAACTTTTGGAAATTTTGGAATCTCTGGACCTTGGAATTGATTCTCAGGAGGGCTGATTGTGACCCATCCGATGACAGACCATGCACGACTTACTTGCAAAGGCAAGGGCTGTCAATACTCATGCCCATATTTAAACGAATATCTCTCAATCTACCTGTCTATCTGTATATACATATACGTATTGATACTCCTACATATAGTATTGCCATTGGAAATACTGACAGTGATCATTTGTTGAATGCTCAAGCTAATACCAGCATTACTACTAATATTACACTTCTATAAAGCTTAGTACGAATATGCATAACACAAATACTAAGATTGATTAGTATTGCTCTTATTACTCCTACGCATATCAATAACCATATTCATATTGATAATAATGTATATTAATACCAATACTAACACACACCTGTATATACTAATGTACATAAACATGCATACCACCATATTAAAATACAAATCCTTTAACTCACTCATGTATTCAACTGTTAGAATTTCACGTGATCAAGAGTAATAATACTACAAACATTCTTTCGAATGTATATCATCAATAATATTATAGTACTAACGCTAACACTACTGCTAATACTTAACACAAAATTTATACTAACATCAATATTTACATAGCTATTGATACTCCTACGAATACGAATACGTAAACTCTTGTGCGTTAACAGTAGTGCTATCACCAACACTAATACGGACTTTGATAATCTGCTGAATATTCAAGAATGCCACTAGTATTACCAGCATGAACACCCATATTATGGCTATTACGAGTATAAATAGTCCTATTTCTAATAATATTGACATTAATACTGCTACGAATACCAATAGTATATTCATATTGATATGAAAACTAATATCATTACTAATGGACACCTGCTTATACTAATGTACATAAAATACAGCTAACACTACTGCTAATACTTCACACAAAATTTATACTAACATCAATATTTACATAGCTATTGATACTCCTACGAATACGAGTACGTAAACTCTTGTGCGTTAACAGTGATGCTATCACCAACACTAGTACGGACTTTGATAATCTGCTGAATATTCAAGAATGCCACTAGTATTACCAGCATGAACACTCATATTATGGCTATTACGAGTATAAATAGTCCTATTTCCAATAATATTGACATTAATACTGCTACGAACACCAATAGTATATTCATATTGATATGATGACTAATATCATTACTAATAGACACCTGCATATACTAATGTACATAAAATACATACCACTATCTTAAGATACAGATATATACGTCAGTGCATTCATGTATTAATGCTTTGGCATAGGCATATGCCCATATACCAATGTATCAATATACCTCTCGTTGTTGTATGAGTATACTACACGAATATGTGACTGTACTCATATACGGCTACTGCACTATGCAAGAATACCGACATGACAAGTTCGTATACCAATATGCCAACATACTGATATACTTATAAATGATTAGATAAAACAGTCATATAGTACACATACTCGTACACTAATATGCTACCGTTCGAATATACTGGTATGTCAATATACTAGTAAGCTAGTACAGCAGTATAGTAGTGTATTCATGCACCAGTTGTACTAACATGTAAAATATACTAGTATACAAGTATGCAAATATTTTACTGTTCGAATACATTGATGTACTGATATACTCATCTGCTAATATACGAGACTATCAATATACTAACATATCCAAACTAACTAGTTCTAATATTGATACTAATACTAGCACTTCTGCGAATATAAGCTGCTGTTAAACCCAGCATTAAGACTGATACTGATACTACTCGTAGCAGTGGTGCTGTATTACTGACATTGACACTGGCACTAGCGCTAACTCTAACACGAACATGAGCACTAACACTAATTTATAGTTGGCAATATTGATACGTATACTTACAGCAAACAATAGTACTAATATTAATAATAATACTCACCCTAATACCGATACTACCACAAGACTGTTTCGTAACTCATGTGCCGCACGTCTGGTGCTATACTATGTACCTCATGTAAAGGTTTTGCTTCATAGAATATCGTCGTGCACGGTGTTTTTTAGACCCGCGGTCTGTCAACGGGGGGGGGGGGGGTGAGCATATATATATATATATATGCATACATGCACAGATAGATACCTACCTACATACATACATACATACATATATATATATATATGCTATATATATATATATATATACTATACACATGCACAAATGTACATGCATGTGTCTGAATACGCGTGCGTTTGTCTAACTATGTACCTATCTATCTATGTATGCATCCATCTGTATTTGTCTATTTCTGTGTATATACATATATGTATATACACATACACACATACACACACATACATCATATATATATATATATATATATATACAAATACATACATTACTCAGCAGATGTACAAGACTCGGAGCACGCACAATGAGGGGCCCCGACGTGTCCACCCCGGAAGGTAGGGGGCCATAAAAGGTTCCCATCTTCGCCTTTGCAAACGTGCGAGGAACTTCGGGGTCTCAAAGGTTAGGGTTTAGGGTGTGGGGTTTAAGTTAGAAGGGGCCCCCACCCTGTAATAGTGGTATAATAGGAATATAATACGGCCCAAGTATAGTCCTTATAGTCACTATTACAGGGTGGGGGCCCCTTCTAGGGTTTCAGGATTAGGGTTTGGGGTTGAGGGTTTGGCGTTAAGGGTTGATAGGGTTTAGGGTTTCGGGTCGATGGGCGGGGGATCGAGGTCAAAACTGTTTTGATGCTTAGAAGGCCCTGCTTGTCGGGTATCAGGGGGAACTCAAGGTTAACCTTTTTGGTTATATAGGGATTATATGGGGACTATACTGCCCAAAAAAGGTTAAAGGTTCTCTACTCTACTACTGGGAGGCAGTACGGCATCGGACATATAGGAACAAAGGAAAGGACCATCAGTAATTAGTATCCCCTTATCCCCATATGTAACCGAGCCTAAGGACACCCTGACATACTGGGTTTAGGGTTCAGGGTCTAAGGAAGGGTTTCGGATTAGGGATTTAGGGGTTTAGGGCTTTAGTCCTCACGGACTTAGGGCTTGAGGTTTAGGGATTTGCAAACGACCAAAGGATTTCAAATGTGTGCTGGAGGCTATCAAACATTAGCGTCCTGTGGTGCAAAAATCTTTACATGCATCTAGCACTGCTCCACTCAGGAGCCTCTGGCTTACTTGCAATGCCGGTAAACACTAACCAAAGCATGGTTTAGGGTTTAGGGGTTCAGGGTTTCCTGTTTAGGGACAGACCTACATGCTAGGCCCCTGAATAGAAAGACCCCGGAGTGAAGCAAGCCTGGCTTTAAGCAGCCACCATCCCTCAGGCACCATGTGCTCATATAGTATATACATTGGCCATGAAGTAGTCCCTATATAGGTACTTTGGGGTCAAAGTGCGTGCTATTTGGGCCGATTTGGGTACATGGACCCTTGTGGCGGCTTGGGGTTTCGTTTGTGCCACCTGTCAACCCAACTAAGCCTGAAGAGGGGTTAAGGGTTTATAGGGCTTAAGGGCTTTACAGCAATACAGGGTCTTGCTGACGCTTCTATGCTGCGATCAAGGATGCGAGGAAGGGCGCTTCGCAGAACTGACGGCTATGGCTATGGTACGGCCTTATACAGCAGGCTGGATCAAGGCCTGAAGCTGCGAAGAATGCAGCCCATCGAAGCCCCAACCCCTACCTTAATGCTGAAGCACCTACCTTTTTAGGGCTGATTATTATGATTTCCTTATATAGGTCCATAAGAATAGGTTATTCAGGGTTATGGTAAACCCTAAACCATGATATCCTGAACCGGGGGCTTGGCGCAAAAAAGGCGACGCCCTTGCATCTGGAACCTTTACCGTAAACGCCTGAACCCTAATCCCCTATATAAACCCTTAATATTTCTGTCCCAGACATCTCGTCTGCATTTGCATTGTTCGTAACATTTTGCATGTTTCCTATTTCGGAGGGACATCTTGTGGACTATTGCTGCTATATTTCTGTCCCGCACAGACCATGCCAATCAAAAGTGTTCTCGCAACAATCCACACCTGTCCTCTTTCGCAGTCTATTGTATTAAGATTGATACGTTCGGTGCAGTCCAACACTCGTGACATCATCATGAACCTTTTGGTTGCCTTGTCTTTTCTGGTTCGGTCAGTCTACCACCCCAAAAGGTCCGACTTAGGACCCTTTGGACAAGGCAGGTTTGTCGTCTTGCAAATGCCGACTCAGAACGGCAGCAACTACCCAACCTCATGGGCCATGGGCCGAAACCACTAGGGCCTTGAATGCCCGAATGATGCGTGTAGGTTTCCTTTAATTGGCTCTAGAATTGAACAAGTGTTACCATAAAGGCTTAGTACAAGGCCGTACTGGACTAATTAGCAATTAGGACTAGGCTGTTAGGGATGTGTTGTGCTATAACTCATTGAGGAACTTTCAGCACTACTGGCCTAACCATTCAGGCCACCAGAGCAGGCTGAAATTAGATCCCGGGTTCAGGGGTTTAGGGAAGTGTAAGCTCTCAGGTGATAGTTGAGTTTCACCACACAGTTGCTCTAGTGACCGACTCGAAAGAAGAGTATCCCGGATTCCGGTGCCCCGACAAGCCCTAATTTAACGTCCCACTAATCGCTTCCCCCTAACATTACCCCCCCCCCCCCGGAATTTCACGGTTTCGGGCCCCACATTCAATTTAAAAGGAAAACACTAGGGGGGGGCCTAGATCTGTATGTGTTTTAATTGAACGAAGATTACAGTAGTACAACGCGGCTTAAAGTTTAGGGCTCAGGGCTTTATAGAGCCAAAGATTACAGCATTATTAAAGACACCAGAGCTTTAGGGTTTTAGGGTTTAGGGCTTTAGGGTTCCCCACTCATACGTGGATGCACCGAACCGAAACCCCCCCTAATATAAAAACTAAACCTCCGAAATCCAGGTTTAATATTAGGGAGGGGGGGGAGGGGCGTTTAATATAGGGGGAAGGGATTAACCCTACACCCAAGACCCTTAACCCTTTTAACCCCAAGACCCGACGCATGAAAGGCAGGTGCTGGACAAAAGGCCCCCAAGGACCACGTGCCGCAACCTTGGAACACAGCTGCGTTCACAGCAGCACAATAGGCCGCGGCGAGGAGTGCAAGGCCCGCCAAAGCATTGTATTCAAGACCCAGACATGAATCTCTGTAGTTCGACTTATCGAATGTTCGAGCAGATTTTGTAAAACAACAATCCTGAAACCTTGGGCCCTAAACGCTATAGAGCCTCTATAACGGGCGCAACACCCACTCTCATGACTGTGCACCTGTGAAACACAGGGCGAGCAGGAACACTGCATTGAATTCGGTCAGAAAAGACTGCACACCTTCACGGTCGCTGATGAAACCGTCTCGAAACAGGGGAACGATGCACTGCCTGCAGTTGTGCCGCATCAGCACATGTCATTGTTGCTTGAAACTATCCAGATGAGCCCGCGCGTCCGCGAAGCAGCAACTGCAAGCAAAGAAACTGTGCACACCAAGTATGCATCAACTCAAGGGCACACCGAGACCCTAGCATGAAGCACCTTTGTTGGATAACATAAACTGCGGTTCGGATTCGGCAATCCGGAAATGAAGTAACATAAGGTAGCGAAATGAAGGCACGACATTGCAGGGTCTAGGTACATTCGGCGGCTAGAGAACCTCTAGGACTTTTGATTGGCTACGCACGTGTGGAGCCTGCAACGAATTCCCACATCTCAGGAATAGATTCCGGCAGGACCAGTCAATTTGCAAAAAAAACCCGCAAATTACGGTCTGCAATGGTATAGAAACTTGAAACACACTGCGGAGAATCTGTCCAACCCAAAACGACCGACAAAGCTCGTACACGCTTTTTGTCAATTTGCAACCCGAAGGCTCCATGTACCCAGATACATAGTATATTTAGGCCTTAAAGTACCTCTATAGGGACCCCTTTTAAGGCCTGCGTATCTACTATAATGGTACATGCAGCCTTTGGGCAAGAAATGCAACCACACGTAAGTACAACCCAAAAACAAGAGCAGCTACGTTCCTTGTCTGCTTGTTGTTGGGTCGTCGCCTACTATGCCCTAAACCCTAAACCCTAAACCCCTAAACCCTAAACCCCTAAACCCTAAACCCTGAACTTCCATATTGGTGCTCTAGACCCTGATGTACAGCCTTCGAGCAGACAGCTCAATTCGTGCGTAATATGGGGGCTTGGACTCTGGCGTATATTATAATATACTTGTAATGAGGAACCCCCAAAATAGCATTGGTAGGCATTCAGGCCCTATTACGCTAGCCCTATAACCCCTAAACCCCTAACCCTACTTGGAGGATCATGCGACTTAGAAAGTAAGGTTATAAGTACCTTAATTGGGGTTATAAGTATAGTTACCCCAATTATAACCCTAGCTACTATAAGTCCCATGATCCTTTAAGTAGGGCGTGAGGGGCTTCATTGGGTGTTGGTGCAGGGACTGTCATGGACACATACTTACAAATCTAATACCTTCAGGGCCAACAACCAGCTGCACGATACCCTTGTGCTATGAACCCCTAAATGGTATATGAACCTCAAACCCTTTCAGGGCTCGTTTCGTATGTAAGGCATGCAGCTTACTCCCGTCACATGTTGATGAGCTCTGCCATAAGAGTGCTCACGCTACATTCAGGCCCGTCCATCGCTTGTATAGGGTTTAGGGTACAGGATTTAGGGCTTTCTGCTTCACTTATGGCCCTCTTCGTAAGACCCTCCCCCCCCGTGGTCCATCCTCGCACACAACCCGGATAGTCTTTGCATGTCCACATGAGGTGCTGAGGCCCTAGTATTCCTTAAGCTCATCCCCAAGGCATGTGCAACCGAGGATTACCCTACACCCTAAACCCAAATTTGGTAATACATACCACAGAAGTGACAAAGAAGCCTGAACGAGAAGCTCCCAGTCTAAGCAGCTGCTAACTATACCCCCCTTAGAACCATCATAAAACTAATATGTTTAATCTTCTCTTGGGTTTTATATGACAATTTTAATGTTCTCTTGGGTTTTATATGAACAAAAATAAAAAAAACAGTTCAAAACAAAAAGGAGACTGCAGCTAAGACAAGTTTCAGCCTCGAACCCGAGGCTGCTCTTGATTCCCGAGGATTCTAAAGTCACAATGATTCAACTCCTAGGAAGCAGAGTTAGGTCTTAGGGTTTAGGGCTTAACCTGAAATAACCTACCGTTTTAGGAGTCCCTATTATGATTCCCTTATATAAGTCCTCCAAAGCTACGTTTTTCAGGGTTAAGGTAGGGTTTAGGGTTAACTCTACAAGGGTTTAGGTTGTAAGGTTGCCTACATCGGGTATAGAAGGCTCGATTGAGGCGCGAAGACTGGACAGCTTGGCCGTACATGTCTATGCAGCGATACCCTAAACCCAAAGCCCTGAACCAAACTCATAGTCGAAACCCTAAACCCTAAACCC